AGAACTGTAAGATAATATATTACATAGTGTAGTGTTTTTTTTAAGCCACCAGGTTTATGGTAATTTGTTACAGAGCAATGGAAATCTTAATGCTGGCATCATCAAATATGTAAATGGTATTTAAATCCATAAGGATAAGATGATAAGAGACAGAAATAGAAGAGGTCTTGGAACTAAGCTTTGGCAAATTTGAATATTAAGTCGGGGAAATGGGGAAGGCCCAACAGAGATGACTGAGGGAGTGGACATGAGATAGCAAGAAAGCAGAAGAAAGCAGTGTTCCAGACGCCAAAGGAAGAGTCTGTGTCACCTGCTGCTGAAGGGTCAAGCAAGAGGAGGACACAATTAGGAAACAAGACAGACAGACTCGGGGAGCATGCGTGCTCAGGCCAGCTAATACAGGGAAAGAGTGGACCATGGTCCTCACTACTCAAGACACATAAATGGGAAAGACACATGAATGATACCCACCCAGAGTGATGAGTTTTTCATACACAGGGACTCAAATCACTAACAAACCTGGCCCATCTCGTTCTGGAATGTTTCCAATCAGATAAGCACTCTTAACATTGGGGGAGGGAAGGTGTGACAGTCAACAGGCAGAGCAGGAGGGAGGAACTGGAAGACTTCCGCCAGCCTTCCTCCAACAGACCTACACTGCTGTCTTTCCTTTCACCATATAATGCAGCCTTAGTCCTTCAAGGTCCTAATTTGTGAAATGCCCTATACCTAAGCCCAAGAGAGTTAACATAGTATTTCAAGACCAGGAAATAGTTTTTTCTTAAGAAAAAAACATGACCTGCCAGACTGGTTTGGCTCAGTGGATAGAGCGTTGGCCTGCGGACTCAAGGGTCCCAGGTTCGATTCCGGTCAAGGGCATGTACCTTGATTGCGGGCACATCCCCAGTAGGAGGTGTGCAGGAGGAGGCTGGTCGATGTTTCTCTCTCATCAATGTTTCTAACTCTATCCCTCTCCCTTCCTCTCTGTAAAAAATCAATAAAATATATTAAAAAAAAAAAACATGACCTCGTCAAAATAAAAATACAGGACCTTCCAGGACTTGACATTTCATGTTTAAGTTAGTAATCATATCAAGGTAGACAGTAACAGCTGTTCAAAGCCAAATTCTATCCTATTTTAAATAATGGCCCCTTCAAAAATGTCCTAATTCTGAGAACCCATGAATGTTAACTTATGGAAAATAAGACGCTACAGATGGGATTATATTAAAGGTTTGGGGGTGGGGAGGCTTTCCTGGGTTGTCCAGGGGGGCTCAATGTAATCACAAGAGGGAGGGAGGAGACCATATTAAAGAGAAGATGTGACAACAGAAGCAAGAATCTGAAGTCATTTGAGGAAGGGGCCATGAGCCAAGAAATGCAGATGGCTCCTAAAAGCTGGAAAAGACAAAGAAACAGATTTTCCCCTAGAGCCTCCAGAAGGAACACACACCTGCCAATAGCTTAGTTTTAGACTTTTGATCTTCAGCACGGGAAGATAATAAATGTGTGTTGTTTTAAGCCACTAAATTTGTGGTAATTTCTTGCAGTACCAATAGGAAACCAACACAGTGCTCTTTGCCCCTGTCCTTCCATCCATCCCCAGGACCTAAGGCAGTGATAAATGTTTGCTAAGTGACTTCCTGAAGGAGAAAGAGATTTTCCTCTAAGGCTTCTCCTACCTGGCCCAACCTGAACTCCTGACCAGGAGAATCTAGCCTTCCTCAGAGAGAAGCGGACAGAAGCCACCCAGGTGTATCCGGGGTGGTATGTGTTTTCTTAATTGCTAAGTTGAATGGATGATGTCAGTGTGCCCTTGGAAGATGGGACAAATGCAACCCTAATTTACAGTGTAATCTACAGCCCTGGGGCTAGAGGGAGGGAATTGGCTATTTTTATGGCACCAACTTAGGCTCTTTTTTCCATTTCCTATAACAGTGCATTAAATATCATGACTTAGTTGAAATTATAAGCAGCATTAGTAAAAAGATGAGCAGAAATCATATTTTACAATCTAATTCCTTTATAAAAATTATTTCATGACCAACTAGAGCAATGAATGCACATACATGTACTGCTACTGTACACAACTCTACTTCCTCTTTCTCCGAGACCATTGTGGCTGGTTCTTTAAACCAGGAATATGATATTTTATGTATTAGTATCAACAAGGGGATATTTTTCCAAATTAATAAATTCAATACAACCAACCCATAGTTTAGCTGCTTAAGAAATGAAGAGCTGAAAATCTAAAAATTGTTTAGGATTCACATATGGTTCATCATGCCAAAAAGAGTTCCCCTTTCTGTATCCCAGTTTCTCTAGCCGGGTTAAAACCCTACAACTTACAAAGCAAAAACTTCAAAAACAGCTTTTGATCTTTTAAGAACAAATACTACATAAGCAGAAAGATGATTACAATCCCAACTAAAAGCAACCATTTAGAACTCAATCTCAAATTCATATACGTCTGTATTCTATAATTTATTGGTAGTCGACATAAAGGCTAAATAAATTACTGGGTAGGTCTAAGGTAAATTCAGTCACTGCCCTCAGTCTAGACTATCTGACTGTGTGATTAGATTGGCAATTCCCGCAGCGTTCCCAGCTTGCCTGGCTTTGCAGCCAAGATTCCCAGGGGTCCTGAGTGGCTTTGGAACCTGAATAAATCACACACTCTAGGGGTCCATCAAAACCGCCAGCAACTCAATTTATTTGTGACCTAAGACAGGATCTTATTGCTTCTCAGATTAACAGTTTAAAATGGTTTGCTTTTCTATCACAGGAGTATTAGTTTGATGTATGAGGCAGTGAGATGATTAAATCTTCGGTGCCATCCAAAGATGTAAATTAACCCACAGCACCTCCTTAGCCATCCCTGTATGAGCTAGAGATTTATTATTAACTTGTCACTCTCGCATGGTCATCAAAACAAGCAGCACCATGATTAATTACGCCTGTTTACTTAAGGGTATCTATCATTCCAACTTTTGGGGACAGGATATTACAATGCCCCCTGATTTCTTTGCATGAGGACTTTTAGAGGAGAGGAGAGAATTCCTGTTCTCTCCAAATCATGTCCATGAATATATTTGAAAGAAAGATGGCATGTATGTGACTGTATATTGTTCTTTTCATTTTAAATGAAGCTGCATTTCGTGTTGGCTTTCCTTGCCTTTCACAGGCATCACATTGTCTGATTCTGCGCACCTGGACATCTTTCAAAGACTCTGAAGAGGTCTGGCATTAAATGAACATAAACTCTAAAATTCGCTTTTCAATTCTGTCATCCACAACTCAATTCAGCAAATACAATATTTATTAGGTCCCTTCTATGTGGCGAGCAGCAAGTGTGAATTTATTTATTCCTTTCTTCATCCAATATTTACTTCATGTCTTTTATGTGCCAGTAATGGTACTAGGTGCACATTCACTGTGCAAAACAGTGAGCACTCCTTGCCCCGTGGCAGTTAGAGCCTTGTTACCTGCCTTCCCAAGGCATTCGTCTCTCCATATTATGAACAAGGGAGAATGGAGGGACAATGAGAGCCTGGAAAAAGGGGAGAAAAGCAGAGTGTATCCCTTCTAAGTTGAGTTTGCACAAAAGAGACACCAAATTGAGCCAGGATGAAAAAGACATCTGCACGGTCCATTCCCGCCTCCTGGTCGAGTGTGGGTCTGCCGCACTGAACTGCACTGAAACCATGGCATTTCACCTGTTTTTTCCTCCCTGTCACAAATTATCTGGTTTGCTGAATAATCACTGAAGCACAGGAAGTTTTTAAATAAACTTTCAGGCATAGCTGCATTGCCTATGATCTGCCACTAGAAAAACATCACCCTTACCTGTTTAAATTATAGGATGATTACCTGATTTTTTTTTTTTTTTTAAGAAATAGGTTCCTGATTATATCCTTGTCTCCCTTTTTTAAAGTTTTTCATTATGGAAATCGACAAAAACACAAAAAAGATGAAATAATAAAATAATGAGCCTCCATGTACCTATCACCTAAGCTCCAGGAATTATCAACATTTTGTTATTCGTATTTTTATCTATCACATTTCTCTCTCCATATTTTTTTTAGTATTTTAAATAACTTCCCATTGTCATCCCATTTCACCTCCAAATACATCAAAAGTTATCTGAAAAATAAGATTTTTTTAAAAACATAACTATAATATCATTGTAATAATTAACAAAAAAAACAATAATTCCTTAACATCTTCTAATACCTAACCCATGTTCAAATATCCCTGATTGTCTAAAAAAATCATTTTGGATTGAAACAGGATCCAAATAAAGTCTACACATTGGATTTGATTGATGCGTCTTTCATGTACATTTTTTCTCCCCATGTCCTTTTGAATATCACGAAAATGATCTTCAATATTTGATTTTTATCTAGAACTAATAAATCCATCCAAACTTAACATATGTTCCTAATGATATCTAATTATGTAATATTTTCAAGAATACGGTTATCATAAAATTTATAATTCAAACAAAGAAACTCTTAAATTAAAAGGGGGTGCTATTAATAATTATACTGGTGTGAACTAAACAGTCACTCTACCAGTAGAGATATTAGATGTTAAAAATGAGGATCAGGTTTCTGGTTTCTACCTGGGTGCAGAAAGCTGGAAAAGAACCAGAAAGAAAGTCACCGCCACCCTTACATACATACATACATACATACATACATAAATAAATAGTTGAACATTCCACAAGTTAACAACTTTTCCTGGATTCATCAAAAGTTGAAGTTGAGAAAAACGCCAACTAAATCAAAATCTGAAGAGAAACAATGCCTATGAGGAGACATGGGCATTTGTTTACTTGAAGCAGTGAACACTAATAAGCAGCATTCACCTAGAATGGTTAACAAGTTGGTAGAGGTTGAGTATTGGCTGGTGACAGTAGAACCCTAAAGGCTTCAGATATAAGGAGAGTTCACAACATTCACAGGCTTTGCTCTCTACAGATTCCAACGAGCACTCACCAAAAATGAGGGCAGAAGTCGTGAGAAAGCACCCCTCATGGCACAGGCTTAGGAGAGGGAATGAGCAGCTGCTGCAGGAAGGCCAGGGAGCACTGCCCGGATTCTTCGTCTCTATCTTCCCTATAAAAGAAAAAAATCATGGGATGTGGTATACGAAAAAGAGTAATGGAGAGAACTCCACAATGCCAAGAGACAAAATAATCAACAGAACCAGACTTAGATAAAGCACAGATGTTAGAGCTATCAGATAGGGAATTTAAAATAACTATTAAAAATATGTCAAAGTCTCCTATGTAAAAAGTGGACATCACTCATTGTCAGATTAAGAATTTCAGCAGAGATATGGGAACCGTAAGAAAAAAATTAAATGAAGATGCTACAAGTGAAAAACAGTAACAGAGATCAAGATTGTCATTGGCAGTCTCATCAGCAAACTTAACAGAGCTAAGGAAAGAATCAGTGACCTTGAAAATATACCAACTGAAAGACAAAAAAAGGAGAGAGTAAAAAATAAAAACAGAACTATAAGACAAAATCAAATGACCTAACAAATGTGCAATTAGAATTCCAGAAGGAAAACAAAAGACGGAGAATGGGGTAGAATAAATATTTGAAGGGATAATGATGAAGAATTCCAGAATTAATGGTATACATCAAAATAAAGATCCAAATCACCAACAAAGATAAATACCCAAGCCAGAGATAGACATATCATATTCAACTTCTGAACACACAAAACAAAGAGAAAATCTTGAAGGCAGCCAAAGAGGAGGAGGAAGGGGACACATTCCTAGAGAAATAAATAAAAGCATTATAACAGCCACCTTGTTATAAACCATACAAACTAGAAGACAATAGTGTGAAAAATTTTAATCATTTATGTTTTTATTAAAAGCATACTAAAACAAGATAGTCATTTATGTAACAACAAAAACCCTGTAACAAAAAATAGTTATTAAATATCTGATGCATTAAAGTCAGGTACAGTACAATATAGGCTGCTGTCATTGTTCTTAGTTAATGTAACAAGGCAAAAAAATTACATAAAGAAATAACTTAAGCCCTGACTGGTTTGGCTCAGTGGATAGAGCATTGGCCTGCGGACTCAAGGGTCCCAGGTTCGATTCCGGTCAAGGGCATGTACCTTGGTTGCGGGCACATCCCCAGTAGGGGGTGTGCAGGAGGCAGCTGATCGATGTTTCTCTCTCATCGATGTTTCTAACTCTCTATCCCTCTCCCTTCCTCTCTGTAAAAAATCAATAAAAATATATTTTTTAAAAAAAGAAATAACTTAAAAGAAGAGGTGAATTTTTTTCTCAGACACCACATAACTGTCAATATACAAAATAGAATAGTATTAACAGGCAAACTTAGAAATACATGAAAGCTCAATTTTCTAGATGTCAGGATAACATTAAATCAATAGCATTTTCGTAATTCAGTAATAAGCAATTAGATAAAACTTGTTTAGCATGAAAACTACAAAGTCTCTAGGAACAATTCTTAAAAATATAGGAAAAATTTATGAAAAATATTTCAACATATGGCTAAAGACTTTATTGACTGACTGATTGATCTTAGGGAAAGAAAGGGAGGGAGAAAGAGATTGATTGGTTGCTTCCCACATGCACCCCAACCAAAGATAGAACCCACAATCTGGGTATGTGCCCTGACTGGGAATCAAATCTACCACCTTCTAGTGTATGGGACAACACTCCAACCGACTGCACCAGGTATAATCAAAGACTTTTTTAATGGAAAGATATACATTCTGATCACCCAGGAAATTCCAAGGGATTTAAAAATTATATCAGGAGCTGGAGTCAACAACCAAATATTAGAATAAAAGATGCTCATAGTGTTCTTGTCACTTAGGAAAATTACAACGGAGCACTACTCCAGGAACCAGGGACAGAGACCAATATATATATTTTTGCTATTATTTCACAATATCCTTCTATCAAAAATGGACAGATCCAGAAGGAGAAAATCAGTAAAGACATACTTGAATTCAACAGCACCATCAATCAAGTAGACGTAATTACCATCTATAGACTATTCTACCCAACAGCGAATTCTTCTCAAGCTCACATGGAACATCCACCAAGATAGATCACATTGTGGACCATAAAACACACTGTAATAAATGTAAAAGAACAGATACACAATCTCTGCTCTCAGACCACATGGAATTAAACTATAAGTCAATAATAGAAAGATAGCTGGAACATCCCAAAATACATGGAAGTTAACACACTTCTAAACAATATATGAGTTGAAGAAGAAATATCAAAAGAAATTTTAAAATATTTTGAATTAAATGAAAATAAAACATAAAAATTTGTAGGATGCAGTGAAACTTGTGCTTTAGAGGGAACTCTATCGCTGGGAATGCATATTTTATAAAACATGAAGAGCTAAAATCGTATTAATAGAACTAAAGAGAAACATATGCTTACCTTCATAAATTTAAAAAATGGAAAAATTAAGCATGTTTTTAAAAAGCCTCAAAAATAGGCCCTGGCCAGGTGACTCAGTTAACTGGAGCTTCGTCCCATAGACCAAAAGTCTGCGGGTTCAATTCCCGATCAGGGCACATACCTAGGTTGCAGGTTCGATCCATGGTTAGGGTGCACACGGTAGGCAACTGATAGATGTTTCTCTCTTTCTCCAAAAATTGGTGAAAGCATGTCCTCAAGTGAGGATTAATAAGAATAATAATAATAAAGCCTCAAAGTAGTAATTAATACCTCATTAATAAAAATAATAAAATAAATGAATGGCTGATATAATGGGGAAACACACGGGCAGCAGTTCTCAAAATGTGGTCTATGTACCCAAGCCAAGACATTATTTATTTCCCCTTTTCCCTATGTTGAGAGTCACACTGATGATGCAAAAGCAGTGATGGGCAAAAATTGCTGGTGCCTTAGCCCAAACAAAGATAGTGTCACCAAACTGGACTAGTAGTCATTGTATTCTTCATCACACATATTCGTAGTGGAGGGGGGGAGGCATTTCTACTTAAGAATATCATTTATGCAATAGTAAAAATGGTTACTTTGATTAAGCAGAGACGCTTGGTACATGTCTTTAATATTCTAAGTGAAGAAATGGGAAGTACAGGGAATGCACTTCTGCTGCATACCGTCGTCCTATGTGCGACTGAGTGGCAAATAAGTTGTACATTTTTCATGGAATAGCATTTTTACTTTAAAGAACAACTGGCAGCCAAACTCTAGTTATTCAGACATGCATATTTGATAGATATTTTCTCAAAAATTAATAAAGTGAGCTGTCAATTCACAGGCAACAACCTTCAGTATTCGTTGCCATGATAAAATTCAAGCATTCAAGTGAAAATTAGAATTTTAGAAAATTTTTGTTCAACACCCTAGGCTTGACAGCTTCCCAATACTTAGATTTTTCTGATGAGATCAACAGTGATGTTTAAAAATGTGATTACTTGCCCTAACTGGTTTGGTTCAGTGGATAGAGCGTCAGCCTGCGGACTGAAGGGTCCCAAGTTCTAGTCCAGTCAAGGGCATGTACCTTGGTTGCCGGCACATCCCCAGTAGGAGGTGTGCATGAGGCAGCTGATCGATGTTTCTCTCTCATCGATGTTTCTAACTCTCTATCCCTCTCCCTTCTTCTCTGTAAAAAAAAAAAATCAATAAAGTATTAAAAATAAAAACATAAAAATAATGTGATTTCTTTTTTGATTCCATATAATCAAATGTGTCAACATTTGCAAGATCTGTATAACTCAATGAACTGGTATTTTCCAAATAACAAATTCATGGTGTTGCAAAACTACATGTGCATAAGTAGTCAACTCAAAGTACAAGACAGAAAATGGATTTTAGTGTAACAGAGTACAAAAAATTCATTGATATAGATTAAGATTTGTCATTGCACCAACTTTTAAGAAACTATCACTTGTCAAGTTTTGGAGTAGCATCAAAGAATACCCATAATTACCTGTAAAGGTTATTGAAATACTCCTCCTTTTTCCAACTACATATCTATGTGAGGCCAGGTTTTCTTAAGCACTTCAAACAAAACAATGTACTGCAACAGATTAAATGTAAAAACAGATCTGAGTCTGGCTGTTTTCTCTTATAAAGACAAGATTTGTAAAAATGTAAACAATGTCATGCTTCACACTAGTTTGTTTTGAAAGTTACTTCTTTTTAAAAAAAATATTTTTTATTGATTTCAGAGAGAGGAAGAGGGAGAGAAAGATCAAAACATCAATGATGAGAGAGAATAATTAATTGGCTGTCTCCTGTACACCCCACACTGGGGATGAAGCCTAGAACCCGGGCATGTACCCTGACCAGTAATCAAACCACAACCTCCTGGTTCATAGTTTGATGCTCAACCACTGAGCCACACTGGCCAGGCTGAAAGTGATTTCTTCATTAAAAAATTATACTGCCCTGGCCAGGTGGCTCAGTTGATTGGAGCATCATCTCATACACCAAAAAGGTTGCTGTTGGATTCCCCATCAGGGCACATATCTAGTTTGTAGGTTCAATCCCCAGGTTGGAGCTCATATGGGAGGCAACCAATTGAGGTTTCTCTCAAATCAATGTCTTTCTCTCTCCCTTCCTCTCTCTCAAATAAGTTTTTAAAATGTTTTAAAAAAATTGAAACAGAACTAAAAATGTCTTATTTCTTACTTTCGCCTTAGAAAGTAAAAATACACTAAATGTTAGTGTTGCCCTTTTTTTAAAAAAACCAATGGAAAGTATTTAACCATGGAAAATAAAATTTTGATTAGGTTTATAATCAACATTTTCATTTCTAAAAATATGAGGGATTTACTGATTTCATATACCCACATCAAAGCACTATAACTAATTTTAAAACTTTTCAATTAATAATCTCACCTGCAATTAAAGAATAAGGTTTAAATATTTTTAAAGGGCAGGTATTCTCATAAAGTAAAATAAAACCGTCAAAAAACATGTTTTTTTCAGCACTCCTAACATTTTAATCTTGCTTTTCTTTCCAACACCTTTGAATTAGAAAAAAAAATTAATACAAATCTTATTTATTTTTTAATTGATTTCGGAAGGGAGAGGGAGAGATAGAAACATCAATGATGAGAGAGA